GGTGCTTCTTCCAATCGTTACAATGGGTATCCTCCTGTTGCCAGGAGCCAGGTGAGGTTTGATATTCTTCTTCTCTAGTATCTTTCTTTGCAGTGCAAGTCCAGACTATTTGCAGGTACTATGGATTCCAAGATGGCAATTGAGCTCCTGATGATTGCTTTGAGGATCAATCTCCAAGAAATAGGGCATAAAAGGAATATATCAATAGGTCAACATATACAAACCCTTCAACTACTGTCCTGCTCTGGTATCTTGGTGTCATTTTTTAACTTGAGTGACTTACAGCATCTTCTAGACTCATCCAACCTAGCTTCACCAAAAGAACACAATTGTGGACAGATTTTAAATAACTTCAACAACAGTTTGAATGTACTATGGAGATTTACATAACTGGTTGGGAAGTGGCTTTTCATATATCTCTCACACACATGGACTGAAATGTGAAAAGGCTATTATGGATGATTTTATACATTCTCATAACATATCGAAGGAGGCAACTAGGACCCCGGGGGAGCCATCACTATCCCTGTAGGAAGGAGGAAGAGGCGGAGAAAGAAGAACAGGAAGAGAAAGAAAGGATGCCGTGCTGGGGTTTTCTTTAGGCTGAGTAAGTTTCCACACAAGCCTTCAATTCCAATTATATTTCTTACCAATGCAAGATCTCTGACTAACAAAATGGATGAATTAAGGCTACAGATTGCAAAGACTAAATTCATCAAGAATTGCTTTGTTTTGCTAATCACAGAAACTTGGCTTCATTCACTCATTCCAGATGCAACTGTTGAGCTGGAAGGCTACATAGCTCACCGGCAGGATAGGAGTAGAGATTCTGGCAAGATCAAAGGGGGAGGTTTAAGCCTTTATGTGAACAAAAGCTGGTGTATCAATACAAAGACTGTAGACAGCCATTGCTTCATGGATCTGGAGTATATGACACTTAAATGTAGACCCATATATCTTTCACGGGAATTCAGCGTGGTTTTGATTACTGCAGTCTATATCCCACTTGATGCCAATACTACCATAGCTTTGGGATTCTTGTATAACATTGTTAGTAATCAGCAGAATAAGTATCCTGATGTTGTGCATATCATAGCAGGGGATTTTAATCAAGCTGATTTAAAAGAAGTGCTCCCTAAATTCTATCGGCATGTTAAGTGTGCTACTAGAGGAGCAAACATATTGCACAAAGTATATACCAACATCAAACATGGCTATAAGGTTATACAATTACCACATTTGGAACAATCAGACCATATGTCACTGCTTTTAGCACCAGCTTACATCCCCTTTAGGAGACGGGCTCTGCCTATAATAAAGAGTGTGAAATCTTGGCCAGAAGATGCTTCCCAACAACTTCAGGATTGTTTTGAGAACACAAATTGGGACATCTTTTATCACCCTGACCTAGAGGTGCCACTATTCCATCTTGTTTGAAGGCTTCCACCATTGTTCCGCTACCAAAGAAGTTTCCTATCAATAACCTCAACGATTACAGACCAATGGCACTCACTCTTATCATTATGAAGTGCTTTGAGAAATTAGTCTGCCGGCACATCATTTCTGGTCTTCCGCATACATTTGATAAACACCAGTTTGCATAAAGAAAAAATAGATCTACAGAGGACGCTATAGCCATCACTCTTCACACTGCTCTGACTCATCTAGAACAATGGGAGGGCTATGTGAGGATGCTTTTTGTGGATTTTAGTTCTGCGTTTAACACAATTCTTCCACATAGACTAGTGTCTAAACTTCTGGACCTTGGGCTTTCTAATTCAATCAGCCTTTGGATTATGGATTTCCTGTCTGGCCACTCACAGAGGGTCAGATTAGGTATCATACCTCTTCAGCCCTTATTCTTAACACTGGTACACCACAGGGTTGCGTGTTGAGTCCCTTACTCTATACTCTTTATGTGCATGACTGCATTCCCACTCATGTTAGTGCTAAATTTGCAGATGATACAACAGTGGTGGGACTTATCTCCGGGTGGGATGAGTCTGCCTACCGAGATGAGGTGGAGTGGTTGCTTTCGTGGTGTGGAGACAATAACATGGTCCTCAACACCAATAAGATCAAGGAGTTTATAGTGGATTACAGAAGGACCCAGCCCTTGCTTATCAATGGAGACCAAGTGGAGCAAGTGGCCAGTTTTAAGTTTCTGGGTGTTACCCTAAAAGAGGACCTGACCTGGGGTGCCCACATTGCAGCCCTGGTCAAAAGGGCCCAGCAGAAATTATACTACCTGAGACTTCTCAGAAAACAATAACTGAGTGAGAAACTGCTGGTGACCTTCTACCGCTGCATCATAGAGTATAGAGACCCAAAAGCTTGGCATCTATCAGGTTTACTTTTTAAAATAATCTGAAAGGATATTCACAAGATTTACTAGGTTGTTGTTCCCTCTGGTCCTTTCAATGGAATTCTTTCTCCTCCTCCTCCTCCTCCTCCTCCTCCTCCTCCTCCTCCTCCTCCTCCTCCTCCTCCTCCTGCTGTCAGTAGCCAGATGAGTTCCATAACACTGTATTGTCTTCTTCCCTGGTATCTTTTTTCGGACAGCAAATCAAGACTAATTTCTGGGGCTTAGGAAAATTTGTTAATTCCAAAATGTCAGTTGAGCTCTTCAAGATTGACTTGAGGATCAGTCTTTCAGAAGCATGGCATAACAGAAAAATAACATAGGACAATGCATATACACACCTTGATTATTATCCTAGTCTGGTATCTTGGTGTCATTTTTAAACTTACTATGTCTTCTAGACTCATCCAACCTCAGCTTTACCAAAGGAACAAAATTGTGGGAAGATTTTAAATCACTTCAACAATAGTTTAAATATACTATGGAGGTATTATAGATTATTGGTTGGGAAGTGGCCTTTTTATATAGCTCTCCATCACATAACAACTTCTTTTTTGCTCCTTCTTCCCACAAATTTATTTAGGTTAAAAAAATTAACTCGTTGTTGTTCACACATGTTACCCTGAGTTGTGTCTTGATGGTTAATGCATGCATTATAGCAACAGCGTGACTTCTACGAAGTTTTAATTTTGAAAATAATCTGAAGTGACATTCACAGGATCTATTTACTTATTTGTTAGGTTGTTGCTCCTTCTGGTCCTTTCAATGGTCCTCCTCCTTGTTGAGGTAATTCCCCATTAGGAGAATGAGCGCATATACAGGGAGACGTATTTGAGAGAAGTGTTTGAATAATACACAGATACACTGTACAGTAAATGTAAGTTTTTACTTCCAGAAAGGTTTAAGCAAAGTCCAAAATAAGCAATCCAAAGTCATTCACAAGTAAATCAGTCAGTTTTCAATCCAGGGATAATCCAAATATCAAAGTGCAGTGTCAAAAAACAGTTCAGTAACAGACTTACATTAAATCCAGTAATATCAGTCAATTAGAAGAAATGGAGGAACGGCAATACTTTCCAACAGAAGGAAACAGAGATACTCACTCAGACACACTCTCTTCTGAGACTAAGACTAAAACAACCCAGGTTTCTGGCTCCATCTTATGGCCGTTTGAAAAACCACACCCAATTGCAGTTTTTGCAATCTCTTAAAGA